ATTCCACAAATTTTAATCGCAAAACCTATATTTGTAAATCATAAATACTTTCTAAAACAAAGTTAACTACATTTGTAATCAGCATGAGTTCCTCACCTTTTCATAGTAAGTGAAAATGAGCGCTGCCCTTATGTGTCTTTCTCTGCCACTGCGCTTTTTTTAGTTTTATTTTTCATCTTTATTTAATTTCCATTTTTTCGTTGGCTCCTTTATGTTCTCAGTTTCAAATTTCTTTTGTTTTCATATTTTCATGTACGTTTAAAATTTTTAAAGCAAATGAATATTTTTTATTATCAAGTAAATGAAAAAGTCTATTCCAAGCAAGAATGCAATTGATCAATGCACAAACAAATAAAACTTTTATGACATTAAAAATATTTTTTCAAGAAAATGTATTTTGCAAGAAATTTATTTGAAATGAATGAACCCAGCTTTGTGTAATCAACTTCAACATGTTCCTCATTGTGTTTCTTTTTCTCAAAACTAAATTTGAAGTATATAAAACAAAGACAGAAACAAAATATAAATAATTGTTTACATATGATTTATTGATTTTTTATAAACAGTTAAAAAATACAATTTATGATCAAAAGTAAATATAAAAAAATATTTATTATTATGCAATATAAATAAAAGAATTAGAGCTAGGTAATAATAAACCACATTTTCCAGAGACCGTTTCAGTTAAAATACAATGCTATTTATAAATAAACAATTAGATGATTGAGTGATTTGTGCTGTTATCCAAAGTAAATTTCAACCATGTAAATTAACTATCTGTAAATAATATCAACAAAAAAAAAATTGAGGCAAAATTGTCTTCATTATAAAAAATGTGGCTTATATCCTAAGCCCCTCAAGTGAACCAAAAAAAAGGACTAAAAATGTATTTTCAAATTGTTTGAAATACATAAATAATGACGATGAACGAACATGAAAAATGAATACAAAAATACATAATAAGACTTCACCCAAGAAAAGAATGAATTTAATAATAAATAACAATCAGTAGATCACACTCCAAATTATCACAGTCATAAACATTTAGCTTTCATAACCTGCATGCAAAAAAGCCTCACCCTAAAAGGCAAATGAATCGAATAATCAAATAGCTTCATTATATGAGTTAGTAAAAGAACATGTTAAATTATATTTTGACAAACTCACTCTTTAAACTAGGTTAATTGGAGAACTTGATTCTTCAATTGAAGACTTTAGTTAAAGAACATCTTAAGTGACATTTAGTAAAAATAGCATGATTTTAGAATAATTGGAAAAGTAAAGAAAGGGATGCCATAAACATAAACTTTCAGCAATAGATTTCATAAAGTATTACAGAACTAAAACCTACTATATTTTGGATGATTTTGCCAACACTTTAAAAAGTTAACAATGAGAATTTAACTGGAACAAGTTGTATTTTATATGCATATATATTTAAATATTTTGAAATTTAGAACTGTGTACAGTGGCAACCAAAACGACTCTCAAACTTTTTATACCAAAACACAAACATTAAAATATAAATTTTGTCTCTCTGTTGTTCACATTGATTCTGATAACATCTTCTTCCTCGCATAAATATCGATTTACGTCCTCTAATGTACATAGAATTTCGACTTTATTTTTGACACATATTCTGAAACTATTTAGTAAGAGTGGTCATTAAGAAATACCCTGAAACCTATGCATTTAAATTTTTTTTTCATTTTGACTAATTATTAACTTACACCAAACTCTTTATTTATCATAATAGTTTATCTTTATGTGTGTAAGCTGATAACTACAACTATTTATGAGCAATAATACAGAAAAATTACTTTTACATGCATGATAAAAATAACCTACATGTACTATAAAAATATGCAAATGCTAAATTTATCCCCTGTCATACACTTTCTGGAATATCTTTCTTAGAATTTATGAAAATAATATATAATCTGGAATATCTTCCTTAGAAGTAATTTCTTAGAATTTTCTATTGTAATTTACATCATTTTTCTATAAATAAAATGGTATTTTATCTAGATTATTATACTAAAACTCAACTTTGAATAGAACTAAAGAAATTTTAAAAAGTTTTAACAAAAACACAAAGGGGAATAAAACCAGAATCATTCAAAATGGCAATTGTACTCCTTAAAACAATCATAAGTCTTGATATGTTTATAAAGCAAATTCAAAACCCTAACAGATTTTTGCAATTATTATGTTTAATATTCATAATAGTTTAAATGGATTTTTTTTTTAAATCTTAGAACAATCAAAAAAAATTTCAACAATCAATAAAGCAAAATACAATATATGCATGGTAAAATATCTATCTAAAATATTATGAGAGCACACATTAATTTTGTTAATAAGGCTGGAAAACAAAGCTAATAAAAAAACTTTTACACGATGCAGTATCTGATAGCAATCAGTTATATTCATTTGAATATATCTTCAATTAATTTGCCCTTTATATTCGTTCATTTTTAGTTTAAAATAAAATTATAATCTGCTTTTTAATTTTTACTATCATTATATAATCTGCTATAAGCAATTCATTTTAGGAATTAGAAACATTTTTCTCAAAGAAAAATTGTTAAAATAAATTCCCTATTCTTCCAAATCAAAACTATGTAATCCTGATTGGCCATAACAAATTCCAGCTAAAAAAAATTTTTTTGCTTGAAATTTGTTCTTCATTGAAGATATTCAGTATTTCAGGTAGTAAAATAAAATTATCAAAACAATAATTTTTAACAAACAATGTAATATTTTAATATAAACAATCCAGCTTACATAATTAAACATTAGATTTAAAATAGAGAGGAAAGAGAATATGTAAGCTCCAATTCAATAAGAATAAGTCAAACATATTAGGATTCAGACATTGTGCAACTGCAAGTAGAAATAACAACATTTGCATATAGAAGCATAACTACAACATTTGCATATAGAAGCTATGTATGGTTAGTATTCCCATTAAAACCACCTTCCTGGATATAAATTTTAAAACAAATTTATATTTTCAGAATGAGGTATTTAAGCTTCAATCAAAACAATATTTTCAATATATTTTTTCACATTATTTTAACAATGATTGATTTATTAAATAGCAATTCAAAATAAATCAAATAAAAAGTAATAATATACTACTGAATATGTAGTAAAAACAGAATAAAACAATGGCTTATCACAAAGAAAAACAAAAACCTTTGCAGAAACAAATTAAAAATAACCCTATTTATAAACACTAAGAAACCATTGCAAGTAACAAAGTAATAAAACAAATAATAAAGACAACAATATAAATACTGATACATTTTTAAACACTTGTCCAACAAAATTTAACAGTATACTGAATAATACTATTTTAACTATATAATGAATTGAACATGAATATTATCTGGGTGTAAATAAATAAATAAATATAAAAATTTTAATGTTTCCATAAGATAGATAATAACTTTTCTTCTGACAGTTAAATAAGATAATATTTTTAAAAAAACTGACCCTTTATATTTTTAATTAGTTTCTATTTTTAGACAATGACAGAAAAAATAAAAGGTACATCTAAAACATTTGATAAAAGGATGCATGAACCAAATGAAAATACCTTACCATATGAATGAAAGTAGTCATATCAGATAGTAACAGTTCATTAGTTTGACATTAAAGGGTAAGATTAAAAAATTTAGCGGCTGGCTTGTGGCAAGTTGTAGCATTTTCAACAGTGGATACTTTTTTTTAACATTTACAAACATTTAAAAATTTAAACAATTTAAAAAACTGTTGGATGGAATAAAGCAAACATCGCAAGGCTAATTTTTAAAATGAAAAAAAAGTTTAAAAAACAAGCGTGACATTAAATAATTTTCAGATTATTATAAGACATTCGCAATTCCATATTTATTATATGAAATAATAAAATGAACATGGTGAGTATTTTTGACAAAAAAAAAGTGGCAATAAGACGATGATTGACAGTTTTTTTAATCACCATTTTATTTACTTGCCCAGTGGTCAAAGGCAACTGTTAATTTTGCCTTATATATATCTTCAATAAAACTGCTAGTGCTCCAGTAAGGACTTTTTTTTTTCAATCGATGGAAGCATAGATGCCTCCAATCACAGAACAAAATGAAACAAGTACCCACTAACTCAAATGCTAATCCATAAAAATAATGAGCATTATTTTTTATTCTACCAATACCCATTGACAGTTTTGTTCTGTTCAATATTATAGATCAACACACTTATTTTTAAAAATGATTTCAATGTAGTTTCACCATCTACAGTTTCCTTTCCCTTGTATTTACTTATTTATTTATTTTGAAAAATGACCTGAATGTAGTTTCACTATCTACAGTTTCCTTTCCCTTGTATTTTCAAAGTTGTTGGTCATCCAGTTGCTTAAGACTCGTTGGGGCAAACTCCTCAGCGAGATCATCCAGATAAAAAGGAGTGTAAGTACTTCAGGGTAAAATGCCAATTTAATTAAAAAAAGTGTCCTAAATCCATATTTTGAGCTCTTTTTTTTATGAAATATAAGTGAAAATTATTTCAAGTTTAAAAAAATTATTATTTCCAAAACAAATATTTTTAAGCTTTCTTTTTTCTTCTAAAAACAAAGAATTATTTAAATTTTAAAATGAAAGGATTATTTAAATTTTTAAATCTGCCAGACATTACGAAAATTCATATTTTATTTTTCATAAAATATATTTTTTTCGCTAAGCATTTACATGTTAAAATATTTTATTTCATAATAAAAATTTATGTATTTTAAGTTTTAGAATTCTTAATTATGGATTGAATGCCCCCCTTGGTTTGCTGTTGCGGCCATCACATTTATTAAGGGTCAACCTGAAACTGGTTCGCTATTGATAGTTAACTTTTTCTGGTGGACACAATTATTCCATTTCGATTTGACATGAGTTTTCTCACATACGTTGTTTTATTGCTCATACAGAATAATCTGCATTAGTTTCTTGCCTTTTTCGCCATGTGACGCTTTTTCATAGGTTCCACCCTATGAATGTATATTGCCACATTTTTAACTAAAGTCACTTTTTGGATATTTATTCATTTACCAAATCAGATGCAATTGTCAGACTATTTTCAATTGACTAATCTGGGATTTTTTCGCAATTCATAAGAAGCTCTGTATTAATTTTTCTTAAAAAGAATAAAACATAATCATTGTCATATTGGTGTTGGTCCCATTTTCCAATATAATAACAAACTAAGGGAAATACTTTATATTAAAAAAGCATAAAAAAAATTAGCATTTCTAATTTATAATAGAGTATTATGGTTAAATTTCTGATACAGTGATATTTATTTTAAAAAAAATTAGAGGGATAAAACAAGAAACATCTCATTTATATTGTATAAGCAAGAAATTAAATAAGTTAACAAAACTAACTTATAATAACTAACGTTAATAAACTAACAAAAGATTGAACTGACTTTTACACAACAAACAATTGCAGTTATTAGGTTATAATCTGTTAAGTTATAAGGTTTTCATTAATACGCATTTGAAAGAAAATATATTATCTGTACAATCATAAAAACAATTTAACACAAAAATATACATTAGAAACCAGAGACATTTTTTAATTCATAATGATTATATCTATATACTACCCCTATAGTAATTCCTAGCTTAATAGGTTATAAAGCCTATGGCTCAACAAGTATGATTAGACCATGTCTAGTCTTTAAGATCAAAGGCACAAAATGCAGCACAGCTAGACTATATTCAATTTTAGAACTTTCTATTATACTTTTTCCGAAAAAACTGATCTTGCATCACAGATAAATGTAGTGGTAGCCTATCACAGATGAGGTCCAAATCCAGGACCATAAGTAAAAGCTATGTAACACTTTAATCACACTGCTATAGCTATTACTATAGTTTTCAATATTAATAACTCAGTAATATGAAATATGTGAACTTTTTAACAATTCTCTACACCTTTTACTCTATACATTTAATGTCATAACAACAGACATGGTCCATAAGCAAAATTAGTGCTCACTATTTAATTGCGATAAATAATTTTCGTGTGTATTATAAGGACCTTTTCATGTATATTTTTAATACTTTTTCTGATTAATACTTTACCTAAAAACATTTAACACTATAGTTCCCATAGCAATATTAATATATATTAAATTAATATAGTTGAAACAATAAATATAACAAAAACATATAATAAGGAAAGTTAAAATATTTCTGATATGTATGAGTAAAATACATTGCACATTAATAAAACTTGAAAATGGTAATATAATATCAAGCAAAGTATTAATTAAAATACTTTACATAACAATAGCTATATAAAGAAGTAAAAATATTATAATTAATATTTCTATAACAATAGCTAAATAAAAGAGAAAGCTTAACATGTTTCCTTTTCATTCAATGATTCCAGATGGCTAAACCCAAATCAGTGTTACCTTTTAACTAATCATTTGACTCACAGATTAAAAATTAAAAACTTGCTTATTTTTATATTTTCTTTACTTATGTCAAACAAATAGGAAGAGGTTAAAAGAAATACTGTTAAAATATGAATAAATTATTAAAAAAATTAACATATGTAACTTTTTAATATGTTACAGAGTTACGGTAACATCTCAACTTTGCAGAACAGACAAAAGACTATTTGAAAAACATTAAATATCTACTCATTCTTAAAATGATCAAGCCAGAAGATCATTAATTTTTGGAATTAACAAAGCTTTTTTTATATGAATGAAAACTAAAATTTGAATATGTTAAATTAATTTTTAAAAAAACTAATGTTTCATGCACATAAATGAGCAATTTAAAAACAATGCTCCAAATAAATACATTCAGTAAGAAAATATAAATAAATTAGAATACATACACATGCACACTTATTCATACATATATATGTTAAAGGTAAAGTTTTTGGTAAAAAACACAACTGCAGTCAAAATAAAAACAAATTCAAAGTATTATAAAATATTCCATTGTGCAACAGAATGATGATCAATACATTTTTAAAGACTGGTCAGTAAGAAGTATTTTTTCTTCTAGCAATGTGAATTAATAACTTACCATATAACCATAAATAACATATTTTTAAATAATAATAGCATTGCTTTTATTTTAAATCACTTATCTTTAACATTTTTTAACCACATCCGAAAGAGATCCAATTTCAATAATGCTTCTTATTACAAGTAAATCAACACAATAAGTGTCACAAATATAATTGCAAAAGCTTAGAGAGAGAAATCCTAAGTTGAACTTTGAAATTATTTAATTTTTCATTTGCAAAAGCACATTATGGAAAGTCTAAAATATCAATTTATTCGGCTGAATCTTTAAGAATTGTAATAAAAATATGTATTAAAAACTGTTTCCTAAAATGTTCATCTAGTCTAAAGTTAAATTTTCCACCCTAAGCTCCTCTATCATTCAGCAAAATTTAAACATACTAGAATAAAGCACTCTCTTTATCTTCAATTTGAAGTGAGTCAAAAGATTGCCCTTTTTTTTTTTTTTTTTGTCTTTTGGAATCCTAAGAAAATGGAACACCCTCTTCACTTGTCTTTGTTTGTCTAGTTTCAATGAAAGTGAGAAGAAGAGAATAAAAGAAAAAGAATTTCAGTAAAGAGACAAGTTTCTTCTTTTTTTATATAAAAATAATTACATTGAGAAAAATGGATTTCCAGTTTCATTTGGTTTTAAAACACAAGCTAGAGTAAGAGCGAGCATGCATGCTTATTTTTTTAAAAAGTGTTATAGATGTAAGAGGTGTTTCCAACATGCCTAGCAAATGCATAGTCATATAGCCATTTAATAAAATTGTCTAATTACCAGGACTTTTCTTAAAACCAAATATATCCTTGGTTCAAATACATCTGCATTGTACGATATTAATAACCATAAAAAGAAGAAAGTTATAAAATTCAAAGGTAAAAAATAAACAGATGATAGTATAAATTAAAATTCCGCCCTTAGTTCCTGTTATTGACATTGATTTCACCCACATTTAAGGTCAGCGTATTAAACGTAATATTAACAAACTTGCTAATGACAAGGTAATGAATAATAAATAAGTGTATCCAAGTCCATAGGAATCAATCAGCACACCTGCAAAGGACGAAAAAAGCAGCTTTCCAGCTACCTCGATGGACGATAAAACAGAGTAGTGTGTGGCCTGAAGCGTTGGAGGAGCTTTAAGAGAACATGACATCATGAGAGTAAAGACTGCAGTTGTCACTAAGCCAGCTGTAAACTCTAAAGCGCACAGACTTGAAGCACTAAAAACTAGAACAACACATAACTTTACAAAACTATCATAGAATAAACCAAAAATATTTTTTCAAAAGTATTTCATTTATAAACATTTCATCAGAATAGAAACATTTTGTAACAAAATGAATATAATATTAAAAAAAAAATTGTGGTACTTTTTGGCTAGGTGGGCCCAAGCAAAAAGTTTCCAAAAAATGTAGACCTCAGCCAGACTTTTTTTAATACTGTGTATTTCCTTTATTTTTAAACACACAAAAATTAAATAAAGAAATTAAACAAAAAAAAAAATATATATTTTTTAAAAGAAAGATAAATTATATTGTATGTACTAGCTAACTTAAAAGCACCAAAATTGCTTTAAAAAAACTTTCAGTAAATGCTACAAATAAAAAAGAAATGCTGAAATTAACTTAGTAGTTAGTATAATATCTAATTCTCAGCATTTCTGCGATTGCCCATTGTGTGCCAGTCAGATCGTCATGAAAGTAAATCTCCAGAATTTCATGACAAATGGCATGACTTGGAAATGTGGTCATCACGCACAAGCTGTCTTTATTTCCCAGACAAGCTGGTACCCCTCAATTCCAGTCACAATCCCTCGCATAGCCATTGTAGCTCAATAATAATTTATTATAAATCATAAAGCTTTAAGAATTTGTTACGACAACAACAAAAAAATAGCTCATAAATGTATAACTTTTGAAACTATGGTAAGATCTTGATAAAGTGAACATTCTTGGCCTCACCAAAACAGTACACTAACAAAAAAGGACATGTTTATTAAAAAATTTCCTGCTGTTAGCTGTTTTAATTAAATTGATATAATATTAATTAAAATTTATAAAATCTTAATTCAATTTTAACTTAATTAACAATTTAAAAATACATTATATTATTTAAATTTAAAATCATAATGACTAAAATTCAAAGGAAAATGCATACAACTACAATGTATGCACAGCTAATACTACATTTTACATAAATTCAACAGGGAAATAACATGATAAATGCTTGTTTTAAACAATTTTGGTCATCAGATCTCCAAGATTCATTTCTAAATTATTAACATTTTAATTCTAATTTCGACACTTTTGGAGTGATAAAAATGTCTCATGACCTAAATAACCATCTGAACTATTGTTGGCAATTTTTTAAATGAGTTACAAATAAATGGTTTGGAATTCCATTCACAGTATGAAATACCCCCTGTAGTTATACAAAGAGGATATAGGGTACAAACACTGTGTGGTCACTAAGCCAGCGGTAAAAACAGTGGCAATACTCCTAACTGTAAGGTGGTGTTGGAACTATTAAAAAGAGATAGTTGTTTCGGTGCACAATGCAATCATAAAATTTAAAACTCACAATATTGCAATCAAGCATTAATTATAAACTCTAAAGAAATGTTTGTTTTCCAATTTCTTTCTCCTCCTTTTCTGCACAAAAAAATTTCCTCTTCCTTACTACAATGTTATATCCATAAAAAAAATACACCTTTCTAAAAATTCTGATTAAAAAAAATTAAAAAAAAAATTTTTTTTATAAAAATTTGATGTGATGGTCATGAAGGGACTTAAAAGAGGTTTTTGATGAAAATGAGTTAGAAGAAAGCTTTTAAAAAGGTTTAAATGAAAATTACTAATAAAAATATAAGGACAATAAATTACAAACAAGAGAAAACTATGATCGCATTCCTGCTATCACTGATAACCCATTGGTCAATTTTTTTTCTGAATGGGCAGTTCAAGTTTCACAATATTTCAACTCATGCATGGGCTGCAAAAGTTATTATTGATATTTGTCCTCTTATTGTCTAATGAGCTGGATCAATTTTCGACTCCAGTCAATATATGTTTCTTAAGATGTCTCTAAAATCTTTTTCTTTATCAGTATTCATATTTATATGACAGTAATTATGAATAAGTTATCATGAAAAGTACACAAAAATACTTTAACTAAGTTTGAAAAACAATAACTCCAAGAAGTTTCTAAAATTGTCAACTTTCTTTTTGTTTGCTCTTGTTGTGCTGGTCTTTTATTTATGCTAATGTTAGCCTGATTTTTTACAAGTCTGTCCAGACATTTTGTGAAACGTCCGGTTTTCATGAAATTGTGAAAAAATTACTCACATTCGTTCAAACAAGGTCCTGCTTTTATGAATTTGTGCAAATAGGGTCCAGTTATTGCAAAAAACTTTTTCAAGGAGTTTTTAAATTGTAAAGACATACAAGATTATGCTTAGCACTCTAAAATTATAATAAAACGAATTAAATTTTCAAAAATAAACAGCAATTGCTGCTTCTAAATTAGAGATGCAACATACAAATATTTGGTATTTAGCCTATACTGCAGAACGCAGAATATTCATTTCGGACAAATAATGGAAGAATCGTCTGCTGAAGACAAAACTTAATTTGCTTACATCTATCTTTCTTGTTTTATGCCCTGGGAAGGGTTTATTCAATTAACAATACAATAATGAAGATAAACTAATTTGTGAAGGGTCCGATTAAAAGAAAAATCATTTTGTGAAGGGTCCGTTTTTAAGTTAAAACATTTTGTGAAGGGTCCGTTTTTAAGTTAAAACATTTTGTGAAGGGTCCATTTTTAAGTTAAAACATTTTGTGAAGGGTCCGTTTTTATTAAAAGATATTTTGTGAAGGTCCGTTAACGGACTGAAATTTCTTTTAAACAGACCCCTGCAACTAGATCAACTTCAACACCATAAATGTGGCGTAACTACCACTACGAAAAATAAACATCAATTCACTAGAATATAATGCATGCTAACTTGATTCAATCTTGAGGTACCCTTCAATGGATGATGGTTGGCATGGTCGATAACTCCTCCCCCCACAGACCAACAGGATATAAAAAAATTTCCATAGGACATATGTTTACTCCATAGACATATCTACTAGGGAAGAAATTACTGCATAATAATATGGATAGGTAGAAATGATAACTAGTGTTAAAAACAACAACGGATTCTTTAATTACGCATACATTCTCATAGAATTTTTTAAAATCATAAGTGTTAATATTTTACGAATCAGAATAGAGGCACTTGTGAGGTTTCGATAAACAAAAATTTAACAAACATAAAATTTCTGATTCTGTATTATTATTCTAATTGTCAAAGAGCTGAAAATTAAACTCCATACTCTAACAAGTGAGTACAACTTAAAGATTATAAAAGTACTTACAAAAGAGAATAGATTTAAACATTTCAGAGTTGTTTGGATACCATAAGCTGACAATAATCCATTGAATAAATATTGGTACAGTTCTTGCTATTAGAACATAATGTAAAAACAAGGGCAAATTCCTGAAGAAAAAAAAATTATTATGCATATATATATATATATATA